AATTAATAAAAATAAAAAAGTATTTAAAAAAAATAATTAAAAAATAATCCCGATCCCCGATTTTTTTCTCCCGATTCCGATCTTTTGAAAATCACGTGATCGGCTCCGATCCCCGATCACGTGATCGGATCGGGACATCTCTAATTAAAACTAGTTTACGTGTTGAAATGCAATCTTATTTGGAGAAGATCAATCACACATTTCCACCCACGTAGTTGAAGTTAGATTGTGTTCAACGCGATCACTACCAGAGGTGGTTTGGTGCACCCTCAAAGTGTTACTTTAAGTGTAACTGTATTAAATACTATCCCATTGGCAAGGTGTGAAGATGTAAAGGAAACATAAGTATGCAGGTGTGCAGGTTACCTGGAGTCCCACAGGTTCTTATGATGAGTGAAGATCTCAGAGTAAACCAGACCTGTTCCTCTGGCTGCTGATTGGCTGGACAGATCCTGCACACAAACACATTCATGCATCCAAAGGTTATATAAATACAAAACAAGCTGTTCCTGGCTGGCGTGAAGAGGCTTTTTTAACATTATTCTATAACGCCTGAGTCTCACCAGTGTTTGCAGTTTGTCGTTCAGCTCCTCCTCGTCTTCATCTCGGCCCCTCTCCATCTTTCCTCTCCTCTTCGCCTCCTGCAGACTGCTTCCTCCTTTCCTCTCCTCCTTTTCTGCACTGCTGCTGGTGCACTGAGAACACAAACATCAACATGTTAAACACACAGTGACCTCTCTGCTCATGATAATGAATACATCAAATGATAATAATACATTTTTGCTCCCACAAGTGGCAAAAAAAAAAAGAAGGAAGAAAACGTTTTTAAGAATAATTAAGGACAATAAAATAAAGAGAAAACAGCAGGAGAGAAAGAGCTGCTCTGTCGTTGAATCCTGTTGAAGTCGGACTGAAAAGTATAAGTTGTTCATGTATTAACACGAAACATAGACAGGAGGACCTGAGCTCAAACTCCAACTCAGGTAAATGATTGAAAGCTGAAGCAATAATTATTTTACTGATTTTTGTTAATGAATGAATTGGGTTAGGTGATATGTTTACATGTTCCAACCTGCCGCTGACAGACCTGCGCGTGTGTGTGTGTGTCAGCTGACAGACCTGAGGAGACAGACGGGGGGATCTTCTGACTGACTTCTTCCCAGATCCCGGAGAACCTGAACCAGACTGCATCTCTGAAGCACCTGAAGAACAAACAACAACAACAAACTCAGACTTAATCGAATGAAGCAAACAAAACAAATAGGAATCACATTTTAGCTCATATGCTCATGCCAAGCTACACACACACTCTTCATACTTTAAAGAGGACCTATCATGCAAAATGCACTTTTGTACGTCTTTTATACATGAATATGTGTCCCCGGTGTTCCAGGGAACTCACCAAGTGTCAGAAAACACAACCCTCTCTCTTTTCCTCCATACCCAAATCTCTAAAAAAGGGGCTGCAACGGATCTGATACAGACTGATCCAGATTTGAACACAAAGACCACTGGATCAACAAATCGAAATCTGATAAAAAATTAATTATTCAATCAGCCGAAAAATAGGAAAAAAGAATTAAAATATATCGTAATATAACTTATAACGGAAAAAAACTAATCTCAAGTGGATTTTGGTAATATTAGTAATGGAGTTTCTTACGGTGGTTGTAATTTGTACTCCTCTGTGAACCGGATAGAATGATCCTTTGTGTAATCGAAACAGGTAATTATAGAGAAGCAGATGGTCCTCGTACACGGCTTCTAATACTGATGAGTTTTGTGGGAAATCGGAATTTCGATTTTGAAATTTCAATGCGAAAGGGGAAGGTGGTTTTGCCGGTCTAGGAGATAAACGTCTCACATATGCATAGCTGCAAGAAATACGAGAGAGGAAGGTCCTTTCGTGTGAGACAAAAGAAAGGGAGGGGGAGACCTTAATTCCAACAATAATAGATAGATAATAGAAAGCAGTAAGAGAGAGACAGACAGACAGACAGACAGACAGACAGATAAATAGATAGATAGACACACACGTTGTAACCTACGACTACCGTAATTCTTCCAATAAACATAGTTATAGAAATTTATCGAATATGAATTGAGCACAGGTGGAAGTTCGTAAATCTGTATTTATCTCAGGTCTTAGTAGCCGTCCTAGAAGTCGTTCTTATCAGTACTAAAGACTTTTGATAGAGCAATTACACCGTATAAGTCCATAGTAGCCCTGTAAACCTATTCACAAAAATATTAGTTATTATTGTAATATTTAGTCTGTCCTATCCGTTATGACACACTCAAACCATTTTAATTTTTTTGGTCACCGTTGTGTACAGATTATAGATATCTCTCCACAATTGAAATGAGTTTATCCAACCAGACATACTTCATCTCTTGGATTTTACTTTCTCTGGTTCATGATTATTCCTCCGTTGTCCCACAAAGATTACAGTCCTTCTACTGGTCTCGGTGAAAGTTCATACGATTCAGTAGCTCACGCTCCTGACAAGTCCGAGAACCTTAAGATGCTGCCGCAGGAAGCATCCTCTGCAAAGCTCCGACGTGGGTTTACACATAGGAGGCACCGTAAGTTTAGGGTGTCACGAAACGCGTTGCCTGGGTTTTTTTTTTTTTTTCTTTTTTTTTCCAAGGATTCTAGAAACCGCCTTTAGCGCGAGGTAAATTCCGCCCCGGAGCTCGTATAGTGCGTGTGGGACAACCTGACAATGGCTGTAAGAAGCAAAAGGCTCCGGTCCTTCCTAATGGAACAGAGGCGAAGTACTTCCTTGGACAGGAGCTTCTGTTACACGATGGTTCCCTCGCAGTGAAGCTGTAACTCTTTGTGCGGAGCCCTTAAATGCGTGTAACTAAAATAGTTGTAACAACATCTTGTATTGAAGTGTAGTGTCTGTTGTAAACCTTTGTCAATTATACTCTCTTTCAAACTTATTGATTTAAGATACCGTCCACGTGTATGCTAAAACACTCACTCCAACCTACGTACACAACTTGACTTTTACAACTACAGCTACACACGTCCACACTATCGCTAAATATGTTAAAGGTATGTAAGTCGTGTGAAAAGAAGGAACTTTGTAGTTGGGTTTCCGACAAACGTTCGATACGGTACTCAGACTCTGCCACCTGTATACTAGTATAGTGCGTTTCAGTTCTTCCTCTCGTTAATGCTTTTTTATCCCGAGCTACTTTTTTACGAATTTCACCTTGGATAGTACGATACGAAACCTTATTATAACACATCCTACTCCGTATAAATATCAAAAAAAAAAGTTTTTATGGTTTGTCTAGTAACGTAAAATCGGTAAGGAGTAAAGCGAGTAAATTGTGTCAGAAAACTTACCCGACTAAGACCACTATTGTCGTAGGTAGATGTCCGGACCGTTATACCATGATGCCGCAGAGGTCCGCGAAAGTTGCCGTTACAGGCACCGACAGAGAGACTAACCACCTCAACCGGGTTATCGGCAGTCACGGTGAAGACACT